ACCACTCTTTCCCACGAGATGTTTGCTATCGTTAGTAACAAATGGTAACTTAACACTTGTTTTTTATATGGGAGTAAATTCAATTAAATCAGACTTTCAACGTGTCAGTGGTTTTTTTCTCTTTCTTTCTATTTTCGGTGAAGTTGTGTTGTGTGAAAAGGTAAACTTACGTCTCGTATAAAATGCGAAAAAGTCCCCAAATTAACTTGAGTATGTTTGAGCAAAAATTCCTCTTGGGGGGTTGGAAGGGTTATGTGATCGGTGAGTGAGGGAGTTATGCATGTGCGCGTGTCACACCGGGTTGTATCAAAGAACGAATCAAATTGCCTGTNAAATTGCCTGTTAGAAAATAAGATGGTATCTACATTAATCTGGAGACATGTCAGATTACTGTAGTTTGTTTAGTCAAACATTTTATGGCTTACTATTTAGCTATCTTAACATAACCGATGTAACATCGCAACCAAAAAAAAAGTCAAATTAACCAAATCATTACTGTACCATGAATGCTCCTATCCCCGACACTTCACACAGAAAAAAACTCTTGCACGCCTTGCGTGCCTATATTTAAAAAACGGCGGGAGAAACGGTCACGGTTTCATGCCGATACTTCTGTATGCTTACTATCTACTTAGTTTTGCCTGCACCAAGCCACGAAAGTCGAGAAACCACAAAACAAAGAGATCACACTTTTCCCATTGTGATTTTTTAATGACAAATCTATAACACATTAAAGCCAAGATGACTTGGCTAACAATTTAATTTAATTTTGGCATTTTACAATCATTTTCGTCTTTTCCAGTACAGTACAAACTATTTCACATAAAGATAACAACAAATTAACCATTTAATTTTGCCATGTACCAGTCCGTAAAACAAGCGCTTTGGGGAAACTTAGCTATCATTAAAAATGCGCAAATCTTCGGCAGCTTACGAGAATTTGCCTCGACTCCGATTGGGCAACAAAAATCAAAAAATCTTCGGTTCATATCTCATACTTTTTCACCCGTTTTTTCACGACTGAAAAGATATAAACCGAAGATTTTCCGATTCTCGCTGCTCAATCAAAGTCAAGGCAAATTCTCGCAATTCACCGAGGATTGTACGCATCTAGGGTGGAAACTCGATTTCCCCAACTTCGAGGGGAATAAAAATTGGTTCCAGAAATCGGAAAAGCCTAGAAAGGACTTGGTTCGAGTTATCGAGAGGTTCAAGAAATGACACGCACGAAAATCGTGTTAATAGCGACATACCGACCACAGCTTCTGCCAGTTGAGTACAATGTAGGAGAAGCGGTTTCGTGGCTTGTTCCACTGACTGGTACAGAAGTTTTTGTTCTCCAAGCAGCGGAGAGAAACACTGTCGAAACTAGATGGAATACTCAGCAGGTAGGTTAAGTTAACTCTAAATACTAAATAATTGCTAAACAACAAGGTCAAAGATGAGTCCTCGAGATGGCGAAAAGTTACCAAGAACGCCATTTAGTGATCGACAGTGAAATACCAGACCTTCCCTTATTTTCCCATCATTAGGAAAGGAAAAATGAAAGGTTGAGTAAATTTAATAAAGAAAAGTCAGATTTACTGAATTTGATAAATAGATTTTCTAAAACAGCCATCGTACTGGGTCGTAACTCTTTTTTCTTCGTTTGACCAAAGCTATGGGATGTACGGTTGATAAACCGGCAACATCACCATGGTTTGGCAAGTGACGCGTAACGCATGAACCAGGCCTCCACAATTCTGCTGGTCTGGGGGTGGTTTGCTAAAGGTGGTGTGGGGTTGGGGGGTGGCTGAGGATCAGACACGTTGAATATCTAACTCTGTCTGTTCAGGTTTACCAGCTATTTCCTCTGATAACCTTTACACAAGATACAATTGTGGAAATATATAATTTATATCTTTATCACAATTCCTATAATTCATATCGCGACGATAGCCAATGCTCTGTCGTTAGGAAAAAGCTGTCGGACAAGCTTGGCTACAAACTGCGGCCCTTCCATCAGAGAATGTAGTGGATTAGCGATGAACGTGTGAGCTTCCAGTATACACTCTGCTAAACTCGTGTACTGCTTGTTAATACGAAGAGATTCCAAGTTACTCAGAGCTTGTTCGGCTTCAGCAGTGGAGGAAATAACGCGCCCACCAGATGCTTGCTGTTTAGTCTGAAATGAAGAGCACAAATTAAATCCAAAAAATTAACAAACAAAGAGAGAGACAGACAGACAAACAAGTAAGCAAACGAGAAGGCAAGCAGTCAGTCCGTCCATCCGTCATCTTGTGTAGGAATTTTTTGGGCGTAATTTCTCAACCTTCCCCTCTCATCAAAATATAATGGTCCATCTTAACAGCGCTCAGCGATAACAGAAAAGAAGAATCTTTCGTGTACACACCCTTTTCGGTTCTCGGACATATCCTGGCGCTCTAGCTTCCAGTCTGAGAAGTAAATTAGACGGCATCTGCGCCAAAAGAAATGCTTCTAATGCCCTGCACATGAACCGGAATCTACAACGAAACAAGAAAAAGAAATAAGGGTTATTTTACCGTATGGTGCTTTGTCACCGAGTTACACAGAAAATAACCTTGAAAATAAACATCAGACGTGTGCCAAAAATAACAAGAAAATTGAGCAAATCATTACAAACTTGTCATTACTTATTGCACTTATAACAGTTCTCATCTTTGTAACAAATTTCACAAACCATGAAAAGAAGCTGGGAAACCATAACATTCAGCCCGTGCCCCTACAAGATCTTAGGGTCCGCACGGTATCCCTATTTAATCAGGGATGATAAATTTGCTTTCGTATAAAGAAGTGATCTTCAATCAAACTTGGTTTCCACTCACGCTGTAAAAAATCTCGAGTAGTTTTACGTGATACTTACTGTACACTAAGCTGAGATTTCTTTCCAAACCCAATAGCTCCCAACAAGCCAGTCGAAGCTTTGTCCTCTCCCAAGGAATGCAGACTTGACGCCAGGAATGAAAGCTGTTTTGTGAGGTCATGTAGCGGCCCAGTCGCATAGTAAACCTGTCTCACAGACAGCTGAAGAATCTTGTGCCACAGCAACACAACTTTGGATTCAAATGCACGTCTGACAAAAATATAAAAGAACTTAATCATGAAAAATCCAAATATCTTCTTGTCCAGGCAATGCCTCAGCAACGATAGTAGAGTTTGGAGCATCCTGATATCAGATCAGTAATCAATTTGATATAAAATAATTTGAAAGCAATTAAATGCTCATTTTCGCTCTTAAAAAGAGATCCGACAAAAGATTCTGCTGTTTCTCCAATTTCAAGCTACACTTGTCCGAAGCCGCGTGCAATTTTCACATTACACTACAAAACCCGGGGGGTGGGGAGGGGGGGG